AAACTAAGTTAGTTCGAATTAGTGCTGTAGTGTAGACGTACCCTTAGCGTTCTTTGAAGGGGTCAACAAACATGTGGACAAGGGGGATCCAGTAGATATAGTGCACTTAGATTTCCAGAAAGCCTTTGACAAGGTCCTTCACCAAAGGCTCTTGTGTAAATTACATGGCCATGGGATAAGAGGGAAGGTCCTTTCATGGATTGAGAACTGGTAAAAAGACAGGAAACAAAGGGTAGGAATAAATGGTAAATGTTCAGAATGGAGAGGGGTAACTAGTGGTGTTCCCGAAAGGTCAGTCCTAGGACTAATCCTATTCAACTTATTCATAAATGATCTAGAGAAAGGGGTAAACAGTGAGGTGGCAGTTTACAGACGATACTAAACTGCTCAAGCTAGTTAAGACCAAAGCAGACTGTGAAGAACTTCAAAAAGATCTCACAAAACTAAGTGATTGGGCAACAAAATGGCAAATGAAATTTAATGTGGCTAAATGTAAAGTAATGCACATTGGGAAAAATAACCCCAACTATACATACAATATGATGGGGGCTAATTTAGCTACAACTAATCAGGAAAGAGATCTTGGAGTCATCGTGGATAGTTTTCTGAAGACATCCAAGCAGTGTGCAGTGGCAGTCAAAAAAGCAAACAGGAATCATTAAAAAAGGGATAGAGAATAAGACGGAGAATATCTTATTGCCCTTATATAAATCCATGGTATGCCCACATCTTCAATACTGCGTACAGATGTGGTCTCCTCATCTCAAAGATATACTGGCATTAGAAAAGGTTCAGAGAAGGGCAATTAAAATGATGAGGGGTTTGGAACGGGTCCCATACGAGGAGAGATTAAAGAGACTGGGACTTTTCAGCTTGGAAAAGAGGAGACTAAGGGGGGATATGACTGAGGGTTATAAAGTCATGACTGGTGCGGAGAAAGTGAATAAGGAAAAGTTATTTACTTGTTCCCATAATATAAGAACTAGGGGCCACCAAATGGAATTAATGGGCAGCAGGTTTAAAACAAATAAAAGGAAGTTCTTCTTCTCACAGCACATAGTCAACCTGTGGAACTCCTTGCCTGAGGAGGCTGTGAAGGCTAGGGCTATAACAGGGTTTAAAAGAGAACTAGATACATTCATGGAGGTTAAGTCCATCAATGGCTATTAGCCAGGCTGGGTGAGGAATGGTGTCCCCAGCCTCTGTGTGTCACAGGGTGGAGATGGATGCAGGAGAGAGATCGCTTGATCATTCCCTGTTCAGTTCACTCCCTCTGGGGCACCTGGCATTGGCCGCTGTGGGCAGACAGGGCACTGGGCTGGATGGACCTTTGGTCTGACGCACTCTGGCCGTTCCGATGTTCTTTACTACAGCCAGTGCTGGGGAGAGAGACGGGGGGGCTTGTCTCTTGTCCTGGGCGGGTCCCCCCTCGAATAGCCCCCCTACCTCAGTCTCCAGCAGCAGCTCAAAGGCCGCCAAGAGCTCGCCCGCGTCCTTCTGCTGCCTGGTGATCGGATGCCACTGGAGGCGGGGGGGCAGCCTGCAGTCCAGCTCCAGACAGGCCAGTGGGGGGCAAATGCTCCTGCCCAGGAAGTCATCCTTGTCCTAGTGCAATGGGAGATGTGACCAGATCACGCGAGGCCCCAGCCCCGGCTCCTCCGTTCCCGCCCAGGAGCCTGCACTTACGATCACGTCCTGGTCAAACAGCTCCAGCACCACCAGCGGCGGGTCCTGCCGGGTGGCCTGGGGGTCTCCGTAGATCAGCAGGTGGTGGAAGACCAGGGTCTGGTCCCAGCTGGGGCTCAGGGTGGCAGGCAGGGTCCGTGTGCGCTGGCTCCTGTAAACAGCTCCAGCACCACCAGCGGCGGGTCCTGCCGGGTGGCCTGGGGGTCTCCGTAGATCAGCAGGTGGTGGAAGACCAGGGTCTGGTCCCAGCTGGGGCTCAGGGTGGCAGGCAGGGTCCGTGTGCGCTGGCTCCTGTGCAGGAAGGACACGTGGACATAGGGATCTGAGGGTGGAAGTGGCGAGGGGG